GTATAAAAGGATTGTAATATTGAAATAAGCTTCTGGGGCACACCTTTCAGAGAAAGGCAGCATCGGAGTTTAGAGTGGTCGACTGAGTCGAAAGCCGCTTTCAGATCTAGGAAGACAGAGATGATGCGTCTACGAAAAGAATGTCGGTGCTCGAGTTTGGCGAAGAGTGAAGATGTGGTCGATACAACCTCGAACAGGCCTAAAATCAGCCTGGTTCTCACGCGTGCAGAAGACAATCGACGCAGTATGATACCAACGAGAAGTTTAGAAGCCATTTTGACTAAACTAATTCCTCTGTGGTTTTCACAAGAGGATCTATCACCTTCCTTGTAAATGGAGTTGATCACCGATTCACACCAGTCAGCTGGAACCTGTTCTCTCTCCCACACTGAGCCCAGGAGCGATGTTCGTTGCATTGTGCTTTCGCATGGATTTGCTCAAAATATTATCATACAAAGCGATTTGATTACAAAATGGTAACTCATAGATAATAATAGTGAAACAAAAGACTGATTCACAAATTAGTGTTCTTCATTCCAGGAAACCGCACAGATCGAGATGAAAAGAAACTTCGAGAACCGAACAAACACTGGCATTTCGAAACGGCCCGGGAACAATGATGCGTCGGAAATCGATCACGTGGCACAGACCAATTTGTCGGAAAAACCCCGGGGTAGTAGTGGTGCAAGTTGCAGCTCAAGTGATGACGACAGTGACGATGAAGCAGTGTATTTTGTTGCGGGCAAATACGATCCAGTACATCGTCGTGTCGTGGCCTGGGATCCGGATATCGCTCGGATGATCAAACCCCCGTGAGCCATGTGCTATCAGAACGAACAACTGTATGCATTTTTCCGCACCGACATTCTCCACAGTCGAATTTCTAACCCCGTTTCCGTGATCGAGACATACTCTCATTTTTTATTTCAAAAACACGAATGCACACACTCATTGTCACCATCCGGTTACCGAGGGAACGACGTGAGATAATAAATCAAGTCAAGGCTGTACCATTATCAACTGTATTTGTGGTTGTCACGAGCAAAATCTGGATCTCTGTTCCACTGCCCTCAACCAACCAACCCCCCCCCCCC